TCTTTATCACGTCGCAGTATCATGCATGATTTCATCACTGCCTTTGAAACCTTTCACTAATTATTTTATTATTATGATTATTCCCTTGCGTTCCGAGTGGAACATAGGGCTTCAACAACACATCTCCACTTCGTCCTGTTTTCCGCCGTCCTCTTCAGCTGGGTCCACGATTGACCAAACTCTGTCTTATCTATTCATCCCCAAACGATCTCCTCCATGTCACTCTAGCATTGACGACCAACTCGTCGCTTCCCATTTGGATTCCACTCGAGTGATGGCCTGTGTTGAGCACGATGTCATTCGACGGCCTCCTCATTGTATTCCCGATCCATCTTCACTTTCTCCTACAGTATTTGTTGAACGATCGGCTCTTGCTTGTTTGTTGCTCATTCTTTCTAGCCATTTGATCTTCACTATGGAGGCAAGCCAGCTGTTGATGAATGTCTGCAACAGGCTGTTGGAAATCCTTTTTGTAACACACCCGCCAAGTTTCTGACCCTTATAGAAGGATCGACTTGACATTAGTGTTGGGAATGAGAATCTTGTTCTTTTATGTTGAGTCTAGACGATTTCCAAACTGGTTTCAGGTTGATGAAGGTGTATCTTCTCGTCTTTCCAATTCTGGCTGACTTTGAAATCTTCATCCATTCCACTGGTAGTTGAAACGATGCTTCCTTCTAGTTAAGTGAAGGAAGTGATCCCTTTCATGTTTCTCACGTTGGTGGTGATTGGTTATTTTCATCAGCTCCATCTTCTCTGTATTCCCCTGCAGTCCTGTTTTCGCTGCCTCTTCAGTCAGTCTGTTGGTTTTCGCCTGAAAGTCTTCGAATTTGTGTGACATTAGACATGTAACATCTAGAGTCTTCTTATCGGTGATCCAGCGTATTCCTGACTCCTCGCCCCAACAGTCTGACGCATAATCCAGTCCATCACAATCAAGAATATCATCGGTGAGACCTTTCACTGCATTTTGGTTTTCTTTTTTTTCAGAAAGAATTCCAGAATTTGAATTCAGTGAAGTAAGGCATTGATTTGCAACATGAACCAGCTTCGAAATGCAACCAGCTCTTCTTGTCCTCACAAACTAGACTTAAGTTATTCAGTTGATAGAATAAGAAGTTTTCGCATTGACCTGACGCATCGACTCTTTCAATAAATTTCGTCAGAATATGAAAGTTAAATCCAACTCGGGAAAGCGCCTCCACTTCAATTCGATTTAACTTCAATCTTGACGGATTGCAGATAAACTCAGGGTATTCTGAAAAGCTGTTACACAGATTCTGCTTTGACAAGGATTTCAACAGAGTTCTTTAGAAATGTTGACATGTTTATGTTGAAAATCCTGAATATGCATACATGAATGAGTTTTCTCCAACACAGGAAATTCAAACTATTGATCAGATCATCGCAGGAACTAGCTTCTGTTTTCAGTTTTGAAATAAACGATTTTCTTGGTTCAATGTACGATTAAGCGATACCGTCAACTAGACTGTACATTCGTGTATTTATGCGAAATGTGTGGGAAAGTTCCAGAAAGTTTTCCAGTTGAAGGGGCAAATTAATAAAATTACAAAGTGTGATAAACAGGAAGTTCGGATAAAAAAACGTGCAGTCTGTAGGGTAAAATTTAATGTGCGTGTATATAAATTTGACAAAAATCAATGAAATCATGTCTTCATCATCGTGATGACGATGATGACGATTTGGACGAATAAGAGAAACAATCCTTCATCATCACAATAGATGATAACATCACCTTTCAAAACAGGAAAAAAAACGTCAGACAAAATATGCTTTCCGTTCATTTCTCTCTGTTGATAGAGTCAGTTTGAGATTAGAAGCTTTCAACTCTGCATAATAAACAAAAACAATATTTGAGTACTTTTAAATTGTGTTCGTTGACAGAGAATTAATTGTTTTCAAGTTTAATCGCCAAAATGAAATCAGGCAGTATTGAAAGGCCGTCTCGTAGATTTTTTGGACTCTTCAGTAGTACACTCCCATGATCTCATTAGGGTTGAACCTTGAACCTTCAGGTAACAAGGTGAATTCCATATTAGTTTGTTTATTAGATGTATCACACAGTGAGTGAAACAGTATTATTTACTGGATGACAAAGTTTAGAACACAATTTATTACTGTTCATAATCATATCAATTGTAATCTCACGACTTTGAAACTTGACTTTTATAGTTATCTTTCTTCTCTCCTATTTGTCGTCGTAGGGGTAGTAGAATTTTCCAGATATCTGGGTGGACAGGTGTTGAATCATTCCTATTACATGTATTTGCAGTTGATTCGATAAACAAAGCTTCTGTTATCAAGTGCTATAGCATTACATGCAGTTACACACAGCCATACAATAGAATGGGATAGTATGACAGTTTTAAAATCTAATGTCACAGGGTGAAGGGGCGGGATTGATAACAGAAGCTTTGTTTATCGAATAAACTGGTTGAGAATACATGTAACAGGAATGATTCAACACCTGTCGCAGATATCTGGAAAATTCTACTACCCCAACAACGACAAATAGGAGAGAACAAAGAAAACTATAAATTCAAGTTTCAAAGTCGTGTGATGATGATTGATGGAATGATTATGAACAACAATAAATTATGTTCTCAACTTCGTTATCCAGTAAATAATACTGTTTCAGTGTCTATGTGATACATCTAATAAACAAACTAATATGGAATTACTTACTACCACAGTGCCCAAGTTTTACACATATATTTATACAAGGTGAATTCGTTGAGAATAATTCCTCGAGGATCATACTAGCTAGTGATCGATCGCGAATGGAGACAGGCCAGAATTCATAAAGCATTGGATTTCGCCTCACTGGTGGAGTGGTGAATGAGTTCACCTTTCAACTTAATGGCATTAGGTTCAACTGGTGACTAAAGAGTCTCAAATAAGGACGAAATGGCTGTTCCATGGTTTTTACTGGTTCTCTAAGTAAAGTAAACTCGTGGAAAATTTAGTAGTAATGTGGTGTGTTTGTTACTTATCAAAAGAATATAAGTAGTATGTGGACAAAGCAACATCTGCATTGGCAGAGCCATTGGAGAAGAAAGGTGGAAAGACAATGAATGGCTGTTCTGATAAGAATCTATTGAGTAACATTTAAAGAAGATAGTGAAAATCATTGCGAGGCCTGTCCATTACATTTTATCCCCAATGAACATTAGTTCTGCTGACTGTCAGTCTTGTTCACTTTAACTGATGTCGATTCAAGAACGAGAACATGGTCTAGTTTGGTTCCAAATATTCAGGCAGCGTTTTATAATTTGGTGTAAATTGAAAATGGTTTCAGGGAAGAAAAGCTTCTCTTTCCAACGAAGTCATCAATTAGGCTGTGCATTCGTGTATACGTTTACTGAATGGGTGAGAAGGTTCCACAACTATTTCCGGTCAAGGGTGAAATTAATAAAATTACAAGGTGTAATAAACAGGAAGATTGGATAAAAAACACAGTAAGGTCATAATTACACTGAGAAACTGGACACCTTTTGTGCAATTGGGGATTTAAAATGTGGGAGTAACAGAATAGGCAGGGTTTTTTGATGAAAACATCAATACAGGCAGGAATTAAGAACGCAAAGATAACAGAAATAAACAGGAAGGTTGGATGAGAAGTTAAATAGGATAATCATCACTGAGAGAATCGACTTTTTATGATGTCTATGGTAAGGACACCGGTTGGACGTATTTCTTTTGAATGAATAGCATGGGCTTGAAGTTTTCGATAGGTAGTGAGTGCCTCAGCTATTCCTAGTTGCCTCAATTTTACTCCCTTTGAAAGGTTTGATTAGCTCTTGTATATTGGCTTTGAAGGACTTTTCAAACGGAGTTGAATGTCTGCAGTTCCGTAATCAAACTATATATACCCTTGAGTACTCCCTTTGTTTTACCAACAGACCCATGGTTAGGCCAATGAACTCAGTTCTACAAGATCAAGGGAACTAGTATATGCATTTTGAAGTGGTGACCTATTGCGACAGCTTGTCTTTCGAGTGCTAGTTGAATAGTTTCTTCAAGTATTGGTTTGTAGGGATTTGGTTGATTGGTTACAGGATTTCATCATGAGCTGACATTGGTTAGAGAACCATTGGAAAACCAGTACTGGACAGCTGTTTCATCCCAATTTGGGATTCTTCAGCAGTACGCACCCACTCCAGTGGGGTTCGAACCCAGGACCTTCTGGTTACAAGGCTAACGAGCTTGTGGACCATTAAGCCACTGGGACCCGATCCAAAGGCCGATGAATTTTAACTTCTGCCAATTCACGACATAGCGCGACCCCTAGCCAATGTCTTCGGCGAGTATTCGTCATCACAGTGACCAGTAGGGTGTGAGGGCAAATACTCGCCGAAGACATTGGCTAGCGGTTGCGCTATCTCGTGAATTGGCAGAAGTTAGAATTCATGGGCCATTGGATTGGGTCCCAGTGGCTTAATGGTATACGAGCTCACCTTGTAACCAGGAGGTCTTGGGTTCGAACCCCATAGGCGGATGTGTACTGATGAAGAGTCCCAAACTAGGCTAACGAAACAGCTGTCAAGTAATCCAGTACTGGTTTTCCAATGGTTCTCTAACCAATGTCAGCTCGTGATGAAATCCTGTAACGAATAGCTTCTTGCAAGAAAATGTTACACGTGGGATGGCGTCGAAGTATGTTTCACTGAGAGATTTCGAAAGCCGTTTACAGAGAAGTTCTGCTTCAGTATCACTTTTGAATTCGAGGTTAAGCATCAGCACTGGTCATTTTCAGATGTTTCCTTTGGTTTTAGATTCTTGTGTGTGAATCTCGGTAGGAAGTCCCTTGGTGACTTTCATTAGATCTTCCTGTTTATTACACTTTTTAGTTTTTCCAGCATAAAGACTCTTACTTTAATACTTTTAAAAAAAGGTTTTTCCATGGATAAATGGAGTTTTTCTACAATTCTGAGAAAGCTTTGTAAAAAGAAAGATCAACCAACAATCGTTCTACTCACCTTTGCTAAATCAACCAGTGAGTTCGATTTATCCTGCAGTTCTCGTTGTCTGACCTTCATTGTTCTCAATCTGAAAATGGGGAAATTGGAAGCGGTTATTTTGAACTATGTGACACATTCAAAATTTCTTGTTATTAAAGAATATGGAATTTAACAGCTAACTATATAAAAATGACACGTGTCAGGTGATACACAACGGAAAACTCAAAGAAGCATAGGAAACGAAAACAGGAGTAAGACAAGGCCACTACCTATTATCACCGATGGTATTCCTAATTAAGGTGGACTGGGTTATGCGTCAGACTGTGAGTTGGGAGTGAGAAGGCAGGAATACATTGGACTGATAAGAAGACTCCAGAAGATCTGGAATCCGAGGATGATTAATAGTTAATGTCATACAAACTCGAAGACCTACAGACAAAAACCAACAAACTGGCTGAACAAGCATCCAGAAGTGATAGGACCTCAAATGAACATAGAGATGACGGAAGTGATGAAGATAGTCAGTGTCAAACAGTAAGCATTATCGACGGGAGAAGCTTGAAGGTAGCTACTTCCTTCATCTGTCTATCAAGCAGCGGATGTCATAACCAGAGTTAGAAAGTCGAGGAATAACTTCGTAACTGTGAAATCAGTTTGGAAATCCTCCACACTCAGCATAACGAACGGGATTCGAATTTTCAATACCAGTGTCAAGTCAGTCAGTTCTTCTATACTGATCAGAATCTTGGCGATTCACCAAGAGCATTTCTAACTATCTGCAGTCTTTTATCAACATTTACCCTTTTCTGTCCATATGGAAGAGCAAGGGTTTCGTGCTATTTGGCACTGTTGATCCAGGCGTATCTGAAACCTTGAAGGAGCTCGCGTGTCTTCAAAGATTCGAACCCGCATCCACCAGTGTTACAGTTCCAGACATTACTACTGTTTGAATCTCAGCTGGAACATGAGTCCCTTCAAGGTCCCTCACGAGTGCCGACTAGCTTGAAATCTAGGTCAGACAGGGCTTCCAGCTGATTGCCTCCAACCATCTAATATCAGCAAATCTCGTTTCATTTTGATCACTGTAACTTTTGTCTGTTTCCCCTTACATAAGCTAAATGTTCCTGCTGTAACGTTTAGGGAAGTCTAAAATTAGATCTTGGATGCCATATTCGATCAGTTTACTGGATATGGTACTCAACGAAAGCATGTTGTTGTTCATTTTCATGTCAATACATTCACACGACTTCCTAACTTGCCTCTCTCTTTACCTCAGTGTCAATACTGTAAACCTGTCTCTCACTCTATTACACGATTATATGCAGGTGAATGAATAGAAATGGCGGAGATATTCTCTCAAGATTACTTGGCATGGTAAAATCTATGTGCTTTGGTGGCACAGAGTTAGAATGTTCGCTGACTACGTATGCGGTCCGGGGCTAGATCCCCGGCAGTTGACACAATCTTTTACCTCGCTAAGCCAGTAATAAGACTAGTTAAGAGGGAAGGTTGGGCTGAGCATGAGGCTGGCTAGCAAAATAAACACGACTGCTATAGAAACTTCAAAGCTGTAGGCTGAAGCTCTATGTTCCTAAGGGAACGTGAAGGAATTTTAAAAAAGTAAGGTCTACCATTCTATTATCTAAATAAATTTGAATATTTCTAAAGTCTGAATGGCCGTTGTCTGCTCGTCTGACTTATATGCTTGACCTGATAGCCATAAATACGTATATGGTAAATTAAATTATTTTGTGTTGTTTATTTGGGTTAATGAGATTCTTAAATCGACAGTGTTTGTCTGGAAGTTTGTTTGATTTTAATGCCAACTTAATTTTAGCTTTGTTGAGAATCCCCCCTACAGCTTTAGGTATCACATTCTTACATAGTATTTCCGGGAAGGGTTTGAATTTCGTATCCGTCATACTGTGATTATTACTCACATTAATATTCAGGTAAGCAGTTACCTGGGTTCTGGTGGGAAGTCGTGACCAGTGGGGTACAGCAGGCTGTGATGTGTGAGGACAAATACTCGCCAGCGATGACATTAGCTAGTTCCATTCGCGCTGAATGGTCCGAATTTCAAACCCTGATGGATGCGTATGACTGAAGAGTTCCGAACTAGGCTGATGAAACAGCTGGCTGTTCAGTACTCCCAGCTAGTTTTTAATGGTTCTCAAACCGATGTCATCTCATGATGAAATCCTGTAAACATTAATATTCCTATATTAGTATGACTCTTTGATTGGAGACTACACATCGTGTGTCTAGTTCCTGGTGTCGGTGCAGACTGAATTCTATTAGTCAAATGTGTAACATGACTGTTAATTATCTAATAGCAACAATTCTGAGTGCACTGTGATGGTTGGCGACCTAGCATGGTGTCTGTATTGTACCAATGCCAGGCACTAGACTCATGGTACTGATTCCTACCTAGTGGCTAATCGAAGTATCCATTACAGTTCTACACAAGATAAATCGTGAGTCCGTACAGCTGAGTGATGATGTCGTTTCTGACCACAGATTGACGTGGATTCGAATCTCATATGAAACATGAATTCCTTCAACACTGCTGATTGGTAAAGGCCGACAAGCACGAAACCTGGGTGTTCAAGGCTTCACACCGATTGCGCCTCCAACTGTCTCACAACAATTTACCATGTTTCTTTATGAATGACTCCTAGTAACCGACTATTTACTAGTGGCCTTTTCATTTCTTGAGCTTATCTTGAGATTAAAACAAATGATTCAGTGAAGAGACTCTTTTCAACGAATTTATCATCAAGCTGTACAATCGTATATATATATATGTATATATGGTTTTATTAAGAAGTTATATCCGGTGAGGGAATTAGTTCAAAGGTGTGAATAGATAAAAGAATAATAATAATATGAAATGCAATTAAAACTAAAATGTTTGTGATTATAATCGTAGTTAAATGTCAAGTGGCAAAGCAAATTACTGTCATATATAGAATAATTCATAGGATGGACAGAACTTGAAAAAGGGTGTGCAATTATAAGATTAGTAGACAAATCGAATAAAATAAAAACGTAACGTAATATTGTGTGAAACTTAATAGCATAGAATTCTTCTATATATGACAGTTATTTGCTTTGCCACTTGACATTTAACTACGATTATAATCACAAACATTTTAGTTTTAATTGCATTTCATATTATTATTATTAGTTTATGCATTCACACCTATGTTTTAATTCCCTCACCGGATATAACTTCTTAATAAAACCATATATACATATATATATACGATTGTACAGCTTGATGATAAATTCGTTGAAAAGAGTCTCTTCTCTGAATCATTTATTTTGATTTTCTATATGTTACAATGGGAATTCTCTATGATTTATTTTGAGATCTCTTGGAACAAGGGCAGAATAGAAATGCTTAATAACCGACGTAGAGGAATCCTTTGTAAGGTAAAAGAAACTAACTTACCTTCATAAGATATGAAATGGCAGTCAGAGCAGTATCTCAACTTCATCAAATTCAAATGGGGCTTCGACAGACAGCGTCGACTGAGAAGTAATTCGGAAACTGCATCAACACTACAGCGTGCAATGCCCAAGTCTTTATCAACCTCATTCAACAGCTGGCTATATGACAGTGCCACGTATTAGGCAATCCACAACGGAAAACTTAGCGAGGCGTTGGAAGTGCATAAAGGAGTAAGACAAGGCTGCCTATTATCACCGATGATATTCTTAATTGTATTGGACTGGATAATACGTCAGAGGGCGCATTGGAGTGAGAAGACAAGAATACACTACACCTTTTAAAGGAGTCTAGAACATCTGGATTTCGAGGATGATTAATAGTTAATGTCATGCAAACTCGAAGACTTACAGGCGAAAACCAACAAACTAGATGAAGAAGCAGCGAAGACAAGATTTCAGGCGAACGTAGAGAAGGCGGAGGTGATGAAGATAACCAGCCATCCACCAGCAACAACAACCAGCGCCAATCACTATCAGCAGAAGAAATTTGGAAGACATTACTTCCTCCACTTATCCGGCCAGGCAGCATTGTTTCAAGTACAGGCAGACCGGATGAAGATGTCAAAGCAGGCCAGAATGGGAAAGGCAAGATACGCCTTCATCAACCCGTAACCAGTCTGCAAATCTTCTGCTTCACTCAGCCAGCATCAGCAATAAGATTCGGATTCTGTTCAACACCAATGTTAAGTCAGTCACTATTTCTATATGGTTGAGAAACTTGGCGGGCGTTTCACAAGAAGCATTTCCGACAGGCTGTTGCAGACTTTTATCAACAGGTGCTTACTTCTCTGACTCCAAGGTGAAGATTAGATGGCCGTCCAGAAAGAATTAGCAACAAGAAACCATGGAAACAAACTAATCAAGTGCCTATTGGCCAACAAATATGTTGGAGAAAATGAAGATGGATTGGACACACGCCACTGAGGTGACCATCGAATGAGATTGCGCTGAATACAGGCCATTGCTCTAGTGAAATTCGAGTGAGAAACGATAAGTGGAGCCGCCAAACGTGACAGGGAGGAGGTCGTGAGGAGATGAGGAGATAAGAAACTATGGGCAGTCGTGAGGACAGGTGGAGAGGGCTACAAAGAACAGGACAAAACGGAAATATGTGCTACTAAGGCCCTATATTCCATTGAGAACCCAGTAAGGATAATAATAACAATACCAATATAATAAACTGACAAAAATTTGAAGTAATTAATTCCCTTTACAAAACTTTCGACAACATAAAAGGGGCTAGGAGAAAACTATCGATAATATGGAATTATTAGATAACAATTTTCTTCTGAAATTCATTAAACACTACAGAAATTGTCAAACAGAGATCTATTTCAACTTTCAAAAAGGATGTTTGCATATTTACGCGGCCCGCAAGGAGGACGATGAATGTTTGATCATTAAACGAAGAATTTGAGTGGAACTCAACAGAACTAATTATGAAGCTTAACTGCAGCTGAGAAGGATCGATTAGGTAGGACAACAGCCTTCCCTCCTGCCCAGTGTTTTTTACTTTCGCTTTGTTCAGCCATACACAGGTGTCAAAAATCTCATAAATTATCTTGGTTTGAAGATAACTCACTAAGTCAGTAACTAAATAGATGTTAAGCTGGCTTTATTTAGACATGAGGTTTTGAAGGCAGTGTAAATTGAGTATTACAGAACAGATAACAAACCATTTGTTTTTGACATTACCACTATTGTCGTAAATATTAATGATACTTAAGCGGGAAATATTTGTTTCTCAGTCAGTTGGTTTTATTATCAACCCAATTCCAGTCTTGCTAAGAATCCTACATTAGCGATTTTGATGTGGATTTCTTATATGGTATTTCTATGGAGGATTTAAATTCTCTAGTTGTAAAATTGAGTAGGTGGTTCCATGGTGTAGTGTTCTGCAGTCACATAGGATTTCTAGGTTCAGTTACTAGGCGACAAAGTCCTAAACACCTGGGGTGCTGATGGTAAGTCTGTAAAACTGGGAAGGTTAGGCATGACACTAACAACCGCAACCCGTAGTAGCAACATTGATGCTACGAAAACCTCAATACTTAATGCCTGGAACTCTATGTTCCACTAAGAATGCAGGAAATGATGGAAAATTTGTCATATTATGAATATATTTTACACTAATATTCCTTTATGTTTATAACTGTTTATGAATGAATACTACTGCGTGGCAACGTAGTAGCGATGTTTCCTCTTTATCGGCTTACCGTAACATGCAATGAAGGGAGAATAAGAACGCCTTATAACTGGCACACCCGCATAGAAGAATTTTTTGTAAGGTAAAAGGAACTAAGTTACCCTGATAGGAAGCAGTACACTGTCTACAATGGAAAGTCCTCCACTACCTCACTTACTTTAGCTGGTGTTCCTCAAGGTGCTGTTCTTTCTCCTTTTCTGTTTTCTTTTTTCTTACATGACTTGCCCCATTCTGATGTAGCCACTTTTGTAAAGTATGCTGATGACCTCTCTGTCTCCATGCCTGTCAACTCTCAGTCAGACTGTTCCAAATTAAATAACTTTCTCTTCGAAATTAGTCAGTGGTCCTCTTCAAACGGTCTTAAGCTGAATCCGTCTAAATGTCAGGTAGTAAATTTCACTTTCAGACGAGAACGTGACCTACAACAACTAGCCAGCTCGTATGGCCCCACTATCATTGACGGCATCGAGGTTGAAACTACATCTAATGTCAAGTACCTTGGACTGAGTATTTCCTCCGATCTTTCCTGGTCCTCTAACATCTTGCTAGTTACTAGAAAGATGTTTCGCTTAACGTTCTACGTTAGGAAGTTAAGGCGGTCTGGTATAAAGCAGTCTTTGCTTTCTCAGTTTGTCAACTCTTGTATTCTACCCATCCCTCTTTACTGCTCCTCATTAATCTTCCCTGGACTACTTAAGAAAGACATTGCTTCGCTGCGTAGGGCACTAAAATCTGTTAGTAGGGCAAGTGGGATTTCGTTAAACCAACTGGTTAACACCGTTGTGGATAGACATATAATGTCATGTAAGAAACTAGCGAATTCTATATTGTCAGACCCCGAACACCCTCTCTATACGCAGCTCTCTCCTTGCATTTCATCTGGTAAAACTAGAAGCAACTATAGGAAGCTATATGCCAGGACTACCAAGTACAAAACTCCACAATACCTTATCTGGCACAGCTGTTATATGATGAGAAATCCGTTAGGTATGACACGATCAACTTACTGCGGCACTCTAACAAATAGTTCCCATTAGCTTTCGTTTTCCTTTCTTTGTTACTATTATATTGTTGCTCACATATTCTATTACACACTATTTTATATTTCATATCCTGTGGTGCATTGTTTAAATATGTGAATGCAATGCTGTTCTTTTTTATTTCTTTTATTTCTCTTTTTTCTTTTTGTTGTTGTTGCTTTTTATTTTTACAATCTTATAAAATTTATGAGGTAATTAGATGCAATACTGTAATGCACGCTGAAAATTCCATACCTGTACCACAAATACTGTTTGGAATAAAGCTATTATTATTATTATTATAGGGCTTAGCAGTACTCACACAATAATAGGCTACCGAATTATAAGCAGTGAAGTTCTTAGTAAACCGGAAAACATCTTTAAGTATTCAGTGTTGTCAATGTACTGCGTGAGAGAATTTCACTTTCCTTTACACTAGTTGATTGGAATTTGACATAACAGGTGGTTTATGGAGTCAACTGCCAGAAAGCTATGAATTAGTTGTGAGCTGTCTATTTGTAGCTGTCTCATTGGGATGGTTGCTTCAATTGGAAACCTTTCATTGTCATTCTAGACAACACATCTTCAACGCTTACTTCAATATAAATGAGCTTTTGGAATTCTTCACGGATTTAATAGTCCTCTTTCCTAACGATCTTCAAAGTAATCGCTTGTTTCTGGAGTTTTCTCTATCTTCATTTCCAACTGTGGGTTATTTTGTTGACCTGATCGTTGCTCATTTAATAATGTGGCACCGTCAACAAAGGAACAGATACCAGTAAACACTCAACAGGAAGTTTCAATTTTGATTACGGATTGATAACAGTTAGAGAAGCATTGAAAATCAACAAAGAGTACTGAAAAACTGGCTGTTTCGCCCTAGTTTGGCATTCATCGGCAGCACACACCCACTGATTAATCCAAAACTAAGATAAAAGAACTGTCGAGTACTCCTTGATGGTTTTGAACGCTTTTCTCTGGTTGTGGTGAACTTGATTGTGCAGCACATCGTTCGTGGGGAGTGAGAAGAATGGAATACACTCCATTGACCGGTAAGAAGGCTCTAGAAGATCTGAAATTCGAGGATGATCCATGTCTAATATCACACCAAGTCGAAGACTTGCAGGCGAAGTTCAACAAACTGGTAGAAGAAGCAACCAGAGATGACAGTGTGGTGAGAGATGGCTGCTAGCCAAATTGGTAGACAGTAATTGACGTCAATGTTTATGTCTCAAATATTAGTCATGTGAAAACAATGTCAAAGATGGACAGCAGACTTTGCGTAGGCAGATACAGTTAGCAGATAGATGATCTGACACTCAAGAGACAGCAACAAAGAGATGAAAGATTAACTTGCAGTGAGAAACAACCAATCAGAAAACTGTGTTTGTCAGCTAACAATAGTCTATTATAATATACACGAAAATCTATAAATATATGTTGATTTCACTACTAAACAATCTGTTACCTGACTCTTGCCTTCTGTTGTTACAACAGGAATTCAAGTAAACATAGAGAAGACGGAAGTGGTGAAGGTAAACAAACAACCAACTACAGCACGCGTCAGTTATTATCGGTGGAATAAATTTGAAAGAGGTTGATTCTGTCACTTATCCAGGCAACGTATTTTCAACTATAGGCGGCACGAAGGAGGAAATCAAAACTGGCCAGAATAGGAAAGGAAAACAGACGTATGAGAGTATGCAGTCAGTTTGCAAATCTTCCCAAATCAGCATAAAGTACAAGTTTCAGATTTTCAACATGAATGTTAAGTCAGTCACTGCTTTTCAGTGGGTAAGAAACTTGTACTGAAAGTGACGAAAGCATTTGCAACAGGCTGCAGACTTTCATCTCCAGCTGCTTACTTTGTTGGCTGCACACTGAACATCAGATAACCGGCGACAAAAAATTAGCAACAAGAAACTCTGGGTACAAACCAATCGGGAACCTGTTACTCAACAAATATGCTGGGTAAAATCGAGATGGATGAATAAACGCTGAGGAGATCGTGGAATGACATCGAGCTCCAGGCACACCCTCGGCTGGAACTCGAATGGGAAACGATGAGTTGGGCAACTCATAGAGAGTGACATGATGAGAAACTTTGGGCAGTCCTAGGGCCAACTGATGAAGATCTCAAAGATTAGGACAAAGTAGAGATGGACTGTTGATACCCTCTACTCCACTTGGAACCAAAACGGACAATAATGAAAGAAATACAGTCAGCCAGTAAAAATGACTTACCTATAAATAGCTTGAAGAAATTTTCTTTGATGTGCTCTTACACGACGCGGGTTAAATGTTGGCATAAGTTTAGCATTTTTATACAAAAGCCAAGTTTCTCTGAGTACATTCGCCGCACAATGTTTCACCTAAAAATAGAAAAAAGGTCACAATTTATACTGAATTGAAGAACGCATACAACTAAGTTTTACTTATTTATTTTTCAAAACTATCTGAGATAACCTTGTCTTTTGGTCGACTGCTATTGATGTAAACCATGAGAGCTGGACGTGTATTAGAAATCTGGTTCTCAGCAAGATTTTGAAATAACGGCCTCCAAATTACTCACTTTTGAGCTCTATCAGCTAACTTGGGAAGTAAGCATGACGACGAAAGGGTAGTAAAGTACATAACATGACAGTTGAGGATTACCACTGGTGATTGAAATGAAATGATTATTTAATTGGAACAGTTGAGTCTTGTAGCGATGTTAGTAGGATGCCACACTAGTAATCTGAGAGGGTCTAGTTTGAATTCTGTAGCAACTTGGATTTTCATATCACCTTCAACCGCATAAAACAGTGCGTTTCCAGTGGAACATAGGGTGACTTCAAGCTAGAGGCTTGAAGTTTCAATAGCAGTGTTTATTTTTACAGGATGGGGCAGCTAGCTTCATGCCCAACCTTTCCTCTTTACCAGCTTTTATTACTGGCTTAGCGAGGCAAAGGAGTGCGTCTGTGGCCGGGGATCGAACCCCGGACCATGTGCATGGTCGGCGAGCGTCCTAACCGCTGTGCCACCGACGCACTTTGTAAAAATATAGTAATTAAAAAAGTAAAATATATGATAATTTAACTGGACGTCTTTATCTCTGTTCAGAATACATAACAAACGAACAGTTCAGCAGTTAACTGCACCTAAAACGTCTACAAAAATAGCACAAACAACCACAGAACTTCCATTGAATACCTGTCATCCGAAAATCATGGAAGTCTTAAAAGCTGTACAGTTGTAACAACAGAAACAGATCGTTTATTGAGAAAATTAACAGATATTTATAGATTTTTATGTGCATTATTATTAGCATATTGTTAGCAGAGAAGCAACGTCTTCTGATTGGTTGTCTTCTTGTTGAAGGTTATTCTGTCATCTCTTTGTTGTCGTTTCTTAGAAAGTTAAGTCGTGTATCTGCGAATCGTATTTGCACACGTTAAGTCTGCTGTGATTGGTTGTTGAGTCCCCCAAGGTTAAGCTTTGTTATTGTTTTTCTCACGACCCCGATTCGGGACGTGAACATTGACGCAAATTTTTGTCTATAATTTTGGCTTGCAGACAGCTCTCACCACACAATCAATGAAAGTCAGAAAAGTAGCAGAACCAGAAGGGTTCCCTCGGAAGCACTAAAAGACGATCCAAAGAGTTAAGCACATTTGATGACGCCACTACTGAAGAAGGTTTAGAAAGAAGGAAATATACCTGTTAATTGGAAAAACTACCAAAGAAGAGAGATTTAAACCCTTGCAGAAACATGTGCGGGATCATGCTTTTGTCCAATCTAAGCAAAACATTAAGCGGAATCATTCTGGAGAGACTAAACGATGTTTTGGATGAAAAAGTTAAACCGGAACCAACTGGAATCGAGAAATGCAAGTCAGTATGTGGATCAGATCGCAACACTGCATGAGATCATTGAAAGGAGGATGGAATGGCAGTCAACTCTTTAACTCAACTTCGCGAAATCCTTCAGTAGCACCAACCATGAAGTGGTATGGAAACTGTTACAACAATACGTAGCACCCCCCTAAATCTTTATCAACCTCATTCAAAGGCTATTTGACGATGTCACGTATCAAGGGACTCAAAATAAAGACAGAAGTAAGACAAGGTTCCTGATTGAAGTAGACTGGGGAACGAGAAAATAGGAATATGTTGGACCGATGAGAGGTATCTAAAAGGCGTTGACTTCGTGGTCAATTTATGCCTAATGTCACACAAGGTTGAAAACTTACATGAAAATACCAACAAACCGGCAGAAGAGGTTCACAACAAAGAGAGAACATAGAGAAGACATAGGTTAAGAAGATGACTAACCAAGAACAACAGTGAATCATTTACAATCGACGGAAGAAAACCTCTTTCGCTTACTCAAGGCAGCATCTTTTCAGCTACAGGTGGTACTGATGGAGATGTCAAATCGCTGGATTAAAAATGCAAGACAGGTATTTGTTACTGTGAAATCGGCGTGGAAATCTCCTGTACTCATTCAAGGGAATCAAGATTCGAATTTTCAACAGTGATTACAATTTAGTGCTTCTCCATGGTTCATAGACTTGGTGTGCGTCATGGAAAGCAATTCCAATAGCCTCCTGCCTGGCGCGTATCAAGAGCTGCCTTCGCTAGCTCCATACTGAAAAGGTTAAGCGACTAGGAACTCTGGCAACAAACCAACCAAGAACCTGTCGCCCAACAGATCTTCAGAACACAATGCATATGGATTGAAAATGTGTTGAGAATACAAATAACATCATCAGCAGGCCTGCAAGCCAAACGTTAATGAGAAGCGACGAGTTGGGCATCTGAAGATGACTTAGAAGAAATTATGTGTGGAGTAAATAAGATGAAAGGGGCAATCATACAGCCAGGTAAAAACAGGTTTCAGGAATTCATCATGAGCTGACATCGGTTAGAGAACTATTGGAAAACGAGCTGGGAGTACTGGACAGCTAACTGTTTCGTCTTGGTTTGAGTTTCTTCAACAGCAGTCTCCCGGCGGAGTTTGAATTTTATTTAATTTCTTTTTAAATTTTTGATTACAGCTTGATTCCACGCCGTATTTATTGGTACAGGTATGGAAATTTCAGCATGTGATATCGGTAGCCCAAATTTTGAAGGCGGACCATAGATGTCAGGTTTGCGTCGGCAGGCGGTCGAACCCCGGACCGTGTGCATGGACGGCGAGAGCCCTAACCACTATACCACCTCTAACCCTCCTGTTAAAACGTGTGCTCGTAGACCAATCAGCCACTGAGACCCGATGCAATGGCCGTGAGATCCTTCAAGATTATTAATGGACAGTACAACTCAACTGTCCTCAAATTTGCCGAACCAGTTGCTATCATTATAACTACTATTATTATTTTTATTGATTGATAAATCCAGTCTACGTCAGTTTTGGTGTTCCCATGTGTTCAAGATTTGTACATTCTTTCAGTTGAATTGGTGTGCATAGTTGTCTGCATGCGCATTGATTGCTATGAGGGAATGTATATCATCTCCTTCTGAAGGCCAGTTTCTGTTGATGGATGCAAAGACAGAGAGAATGTCATCGACTTTCACCAGTATAGTGCTTTTCACAATCTCTTCAGTTCATCTTTTAGTTGATGTTGATTTTTGCCTTCTTTCAATGTGACGCGTTTTCGATGACATATTGGAGATTGTAGGGATTTGTGTGGATTTGTGAACAACGTCTATTCCAAAAAAGGATTCAGTAGCCTTAGATTGATTTCAGAGACATTTTTTTCAGTATTTCGTAGGAGCGTTAAGTTAAATATTGATTGAAATTAGTGCTGTTTGGGGTCAAGAGCTCGAAACAGACTTAGATTAGTGTTTAGGTAGGTTGAAGTAAATTTAGGTTAGTTGGGTTTGCGAATTATTATTATAATTATAATATAATTATAGTTAAGTAAATTGGATGCAGTATTGTGCTGATTACTGAGAATTCTACGCTGTATCGTAAATACTTTCTTAGAATAAAGCATATAGGAATTTTGTAGGGATTTTTGTTTGATTGGTTGGAGGATTTCATCATGAATTCATGGTCCATTAGATCGGCTCCCAGTGGCCTGGCTTAATGGTCTGCGAGCTCGTGAGACTTGTAAACAGAAGGTCCTGAGTTTGAACCCTGGTGGGGTGGGTCCATGCTGATGAAAAGTCTTAAATTAGGGCGAAACAGCTGGCTGTTCAGTATTCCAGTGCTTGTTTTCCAATGGTTCTCTAACTTGAACAAAGCAAGAACAACAATTGTACCAGGATAATATGAGCTCGTCTTTTATTATTTCGAGGATTCTTCTCAACTGGTTACAACCTGAACGATAAAAATATGAATTACATTACATTCGAGATTTGAACATACTTTTCCACGATCACAAGGAGTAATTGGTAGGAAGTAAAAGTAACATTAGTCTGGAATGATTTAACTAATTAAGAGTTACAAAAACTGACTATTTATAGAATAATTGAAATGATCTGTGATCAATATTTGACAGTTTATAGATATTTATAGAATAATTAAGCAATCAGGTTTGGAAACAAAAACAGAGTTGCATGTATATATATGTGTATAGAAACAAGGTTTAGCTAGACAGAGCATAACAAAAAGGTAGATTACTTAACTAAAGAAAATGCTTTATCTAATAGCTAACAGAAAAAAAGGAAGAGAAAAGAACAAGAAATGGTGAGTAGAGTTTTCTAAACAAAAAAAGGTGACTCATATTCTGTTGTCACCAGGGCAGTGCAAGATTCACCACTGTCTCTTTCTGCGTGCATAGATTTGGTTTAAGTCGTCTGATAGCAATTGCTTTAGCAAAGCGTAGCAAGTTAGGTTTCTTTTGCTTGTTGATTATTTTGAACGATTTCAGGTTGTCTACAATATGACCAGTGTCTTATAGATGACGCGCAATCGCACTGTTTAATGCTTGTGGTCCTTTCAGTCTCAGGTTCTTTGGTATATGTTCAGAAATGCGGACAATAACCCTTCTCTCTGTTCTTCCAATGTATGCGCTTTGGCACGTACATGTAAATTGGTAGACATAGTTGGAGGTAACATGATGTCTGATGTCAGCTCATGATGAAATTCTCCAAAAAATCAAATAAGTTTTAGGTCATTAAAATCAACAAGACTAGAGACAGCCACCTGAGTTTGTACGTGAGTGTTACCAAGGCAGGTAACATTCTAATTATATAATAACCAAAGCCTCAGGATGGTCGGGGGTGGGTGCCTTGCGCTGCGGGTTGGCCACCCCTCCACACACCTCTTGAAATGCTCCTATATGACCGGGCGTCTTACATAGCCTTTCCTGAGGAAGTCCTATTCACTGCCTTCACGTGACCGAGGTTTTTTTCACCAAAGTGAGAGGGCGAAAGCGGATGCCCGGCGCTCTTCACCGGGTTGACTGTCCATTGGATGACAGTCTAGGGGAGATGGCTAAACCCTGATTCCAAACCTCCAACGACTGGCGTATGAAGCTCACTGGAGCTCACCGGCACACGTATGGACAAAGGGCTTGTTGGATGTCTGGCCCCATTCAAAAAGGCGTATGAACCGAACTCCGGTCACGGGCTGCCAATGGATAGTGGACTCCCTAATCCACTCCTACTGCCTTGTAGGTCACACTTGGTTGTGTAAAGGCTAGAGCTGCACTCTCAAACAAAAGGCCGAGCGATTCTGGGGACATAACTAGTACCAAATTCCCATGAAACCTTATGAACTCTCTTACAAACAGCAGAGATGATTCGAGATGTTCATGAAGCCGGCTCATCCTCCCGTAGGAGATTGCCGAAGTAAAGTAAAGTAAGTAATTATATAACAATAGTAACAATGATAATAATACTGATAACTGTAGAAGTGGATCGTACTCACCTTTTTTGTTAATTTATTTGATTCCATAAAGTGCAGAACATGTTTCTCTGCTTTGGTCATTTCTAGTTTTCTTGAAAATACCGCTACTAGTAATGCAGTACACGCGGAGCCCTGTTTCAGCGCAACATACAACATGTTGAAATAAAAAAAAGTAGAAAATGCTTTATTCAGTAATTTAGAAGGAAGAACAATAAAGTGAATGAAGAAACGCATTCCTTTTTCAATTAGTTCCTCATCAGCGACTCTCCATCAATATATGTGTATATACATATGTATGTAGGGGTGGAGTCATTGGTGAGGAACTAATTGAAAAAGGAAAGTATTTCTTCATGTTTCATCACGAACTGACACGTCAATTAAAGAACATGTGTTTTGTCCCTACCTGTGTGTTGGATTATTTCTATGCTATATCTGAAGTGAGGAAACTCACGGAATCCTTCGAATAAGTGAACACGGGAGTAAGACAAGCTGGCTGCCTACCACCTCCAGTGATTTTCTTGATTGTTGCCGGTAGATTGGATAATGCGACAGACAGCGACGGGCAACGAGGGGACAGGCATAAAATGAACCCATACAGAAAACTTAGAGAATCTGGATTTCGCCAATGTGATATATATGTCTGATTTCCCACAAACTGGAAGATATGCAAGTGGAAAGCAACAAGTTGGTAGAAGAAGCTACAAAGATAGGATTTCAGGTGAACACAGATAAGGTGGAGACGGAAGTGATGAAGATTCCTGGCCAACAGAAACAGCAGAAACTACAACAGACAACAATTAGCATAAATGGGAGGAATCTGAAAAAAGCAACCCCCTTTACCTACCTACCTACCTATCTGAGAAGCACCGTTTTAGTTACTGGCGGATGGAACTAACGATGATATCAAAGTTGGAGGATCAGGAAAGCAAGGCAAGCTTTCATTACTCTCAAGTCTGTGTGGAGATCGACAGCACTGCTCAGCTGTTTTCGCTCAATACTACTCAAGATCAGATGGCCGGCCAGAAATGACCAGCGAGAGAGATCTCTGGCAATGAACAAACCAACCCATCAGTAATCGATTGTGCGATTAGTAGGTAGAAAGAAATGGAAGTGACATCTGACGCCAGGTCATCGCTCGAGTGCAACGCGAATGGGAGGCGGCGATTTAGTTGATCGTCAGTGTAAGGGTGACATGGAGGAGGAGATGAAAGCATGTGGGCTGACGTGTAGCCGGGTGAAAACATTAGCAGAGAACCGAAGGCAATGGAGACGTTCGGCTGAAGCCCTATGTTCCTCTAGTAAATAAAGGAAACAATAATAATAATGATATCTGAAGTGACACTAACTGGAAAAGACCTTAGTCTGTTGTTTCTTATTAGCTGATAGTAACTGGATGGGACTTTCAGAAATTGTGGTTAGTTGAATGATCGATCGCAAAGAAGAATGATACTTTAATCAATTTACAAGACAGAAGATACAAAGATTGGATAGAATAGTTCAAGGACTATTTCAGCTGACCTACATCATTATTAGAGTTAGGCACCATGTAACTTCCCTTCCGCCTGTATTGGATGAAGATATCAGTACTCCAACTCGTATGAGACATCCACAACCTAATTTCTAATCTAAAACCAGACAGAATTGGGGGGGTTAGCTGTTTAATTCTTGTGGGGTATACGGAAGGTGGTGATAACTTGTTGGCCAGATTTTTTATTCCTTTACGTTCCCAGCGGAACATAGGGCTTCAAGCTAAAGCTTTGAAGTTTCTGTAGCAGTGGTGTTTTATTTTTACGGGATGAGGAATCCAGCCTTATGTCCAGTCTTCTCTCTTTACCAGTCTTATTGCTGATCTAGAAACGCAAAAGAGTGAGTCGACCGGGGATCAAACCCCGAGCCACATACGTGGTTGGCGGGCATCCTACTGCTGTGCTACCGGCTCACATTGGCCATATTATTGAACTTATAAGAATTTATGATACCTCAGACTGACTTGTTTAGACAGATGAATGAGAACAAATGGTTTTGTGATAATCGCGCATTAGACAGCCTCTGCAAAATAAAATCTCTGATCTTATGGTATAGATTTATATTCACACAAAGAAGGTCTCAAGAAAGACTGGAGGGTATTAACCAAGTCTTTACTTACACATCCTGCTAAGGAGGTCGAATTCGATTAAAAGGAGTTGTACCATTGCTTGACTTTGACATGAATATTAAGGGGATATATTTCATCGTGGAACTTCCAGTGTTAGGTTTCGTGTATAGCTTCAGTATAGACATACTAATAATCAATTTTATATTGTTTTATGCCGACCTCTTTGGAATTGAGTTGCTACCATAAAAAGTACTTCTTGATTTCACGTGTTTTCATAAGATGAAAACATCGGCGAAATTCAAAGTCTTATGAATACCCTACACGAAAATATATAAGTATATGAGGTATTCACTTCCTCTTTGTGAACTGAAAAACAAATTTAGCCTGCACAGTGTAAAACTTGGGCACTGTGGTAGTAAGTAAATCCATATTAGTTTGTTAATTAGATATATCACATTGTCACTGAACCAGTATTATTATTTACTAGATGACAAGGTGTCGAACACAATTTATTACTGTTCATAATCACATCAGTTATAATCATACAACTTCAAAAATTCAGTTTATTCTCTCCTATTTGTTGTCGTGTGGGTAGCAGAATTTTCCAGATATATGGGTGGACAGGTGTTGAATCATTCCTACTGCACGTATTCCCAACCAGTAGATTCCTTTATCAATCTCTCCCTCCATCACCTGACATTAGAATTTAAAATTCACATCTTATCCCGTCCCAACGTATTGTATGGTTATGTGCGATTGCATGTAATGAGTGCTATAGCTGAACTATTCTCTAGATTTCTTATCTTATTCGGGTCAACTAATCTAGATTTTGCTGCTAGGTTTTTGTGCTCGGCTAGTCTGACTGTCCCCGTTTTACTAATTTGACCTATGACGTTTTAACTGACAATCATTCCAGCAGGATATTAGATAAACTAAACTGTTTGTCAATTTGAATGCCAATCGCTTTTATTCCTGCCTTGTTAAGGATTCTGCGTAAGGTTTCCGAGGTTCCTTCTTTGTATGTAATTACTATTGATGATTTAGATTCCTTATTGTCGGTTTTTCATTATGTTGACATGCATGTCGTCATTAATATCATTATCATCACAATTACTACCATTACTATTTATTTTTATTTTCCCATTTCCCTACATATTTCCTGAATAATTTATCAGAGTAATTATTAAGTTTCGAAGCTTCTCTTATATGCCTCACTTCCTGTCTTAGATTTTCCTTGGTACTACTTAGCTTTTGTGCTCTGTCACTTAAACATTTCACCAATCCTATTTTCACTGACATAGGATGGGACGATCGGAAGTCCAAATATCTGTTTGAATGTGTGGGTTTCCTGTAAACACACACACATACTAGTGTTTAACTTCAAATTTTCTTTCCTTTTTAATCTACAAGCTAACATTGGAGGCCCTCTCCCCTTCCTGACTTTCCAATTCATAAGCGAATTGAATTGCCTCCACCTTTGAGTTGATTTGTTAGAAAAATCTAGTAAAGATTTTGCAAACTTATGTAACAGGGTGGAGGGAGAGATTGATAACGGGAGCTTTGTTTACCTAATCAACTGCAAACACGTGTAATGGGAATGATTCAACACCTACCCAGACAGGCATCTGGAAAATTCTACTACCCCTATGACGACAAATAGGAGATAACAAAGAAAACTAGAAAACTCGAAGTCGTGTGATTATAATTTATATGACTATCAAAAATAAATTTTGTTCGAAACTGTGTCATCCAGTAAATAATACTGCTTCAACTTGTGTGATACATCTAATAAAGAAACTAATATGGAATAAGATACCATTACTGACCAGTTTGTATATTTTAGAAGTTTTATCAACCCTAATTTACTGACGCCAGATATAATCTAGGTCCTTGTTTCCCTGAGTCATCTTTAGCTGCAGAGAGATATTTGACGATCCGTCGAAAATCATGTACACTGGAAAGCTGCGAAACATGACCGCTGAAAGTGGAACACGCGAAATGATTACAAGCCTCTAGCCATGCATTTCTCCATTTAATGAAGTTTTTTGAGGCAGTACAGTTTTCTGATATAAGATGCAGATTATGTCTTGAAGATGTTTTCAGTCGGCGACACTGGGGATAGTAGTAGTACCAATTGACGTCATGAAGGAAGAGTTTACAAATTGAATAAACAAAACGAAAAATAGGCGGAACCAAACTATGATTTGGGATTACAATACTTAACATAGACGGATTAAGACCATGAGAGTTGGAGGGGTTGAACGAACTTTTTCTGTACGCAGAGATGTCGTTTTTCTGCTTCGATGGTCATAGCTTCAGCAATGTAGATAACGAGTCGGATATGTCGTGATTTGAGCAAATTACTTTTCGCCTTGTAGATAACTTTAAAGGCGGAGACTGTAAAGATAGGGTGATCATTATTGACCAGATGTTCAACGATTCCGCTTCTTATTGCTCCACTTCCACCTCTTCGTAACCATGCAGGATATAGTGTTCTTGTACCTTTTTGGATAAAACCTATCGTTTTTGTTTATTCAGTTTGCATACTCTTCCTTGAACAAATCAGTTGGCACTATTACTGTTCTCACTTTTAATTGTCCTCCGTATTATTTTACCAGTTCCACTAGTCATTCTAAATCAATTTTGTTTTGTAACGTTCAATTCTGTGTTATCAAATTTCATATATTGTTACGTAACGTTTTTATTTTTATTCTACTTGCCTACTAATCCTATTATTCCACACCCCTTCCGATAGTGGAAATATTCATCGGTCCAGGTGACTAAGACATGCTTTCCATATATACTAAGCCAACGTATTCCTGGATGACAGTTGCCAGCTGACACTGCGAGCGAATTCCCTACACTTTATGTGGCTTTTCATCCTGCTGTGATCGTGTTTAACCACTTTTCTTGTGTTCGTTCATTTGTAGTTTTTTGTTTCCTAAGTATGACAAGTTGAACAGACGGATGTCGACTGAAAAGTGCTACAGAAATTTGTCAGCCTGAAAGTGAACACAAGTCACTACATACAGTATTCTTAAGGAGCTTCCTATTTATGCCGTATTTTGGAAATGTGGTGGAAACGCAGCTTTCAAAGGGGTATCAAGTATTGGTTTGTAGGGATTTGATTGACTAGTTACAGGATTTCACCATGAGCTGACAATGGTTAGAGAACCATTGGAAAACCGCTAGGGAGTACTGGACAGCTGTTTTACCCTAGTTTGGGACTCTTCATCAACACGCATCCACCATAGGGGTTCGAACCCAGGACTTTCTGGTTACAAGGCGAGCTAGCTTGTAGACCATTAAGCCACTGGGACCAGATCCAATCGCCCATGAATTCTAACTTCTGCCAATTCACGACATAGCGCAACCGCTAGCCAATGTCTTCGGCGAGTATTTGTCCTCACACCCGACCTGCTGCACCCTACTGGTCCTGGGTTTGAACCCCCGGTGGGTGTGTATTGATGAAGAGTCCCAAACTAGGACGAAACGGCTGTCCAGTACTCCCAGGTTTTCCAATGGTTCTCTAACCAATGTCAGCTCATGGTGAAGTCCTGTAACCAAAGTGGTATCAGTTGATTGAAGAGTCTTTCTTGATATGGTTGTGTTCTCTGAGCTGGTTAGTTAATTTACGAAGCTTTCATTGCCTCCCCTCTACTAGGCAACATCTTCAGCGCATACACTTCAATTCGATGAAGTGAGCTTTTAGATTTCTCCACGAGTTTATTAGTCATCTCAGTCGACTGGGACAACGTTCAAATATTAGACAGAGGAAACATCAAGAATGCTAAAGAATATTTAGAAGCCTGCCTGGTATTCCAGTGAATCGTCAATCAATAGACACATCGACATAGACAAAATTTACCAGTCGATAAGAAAGAAATCTCACACACAAAGCGTCAAAGTTCAAGTCAAGGAAACAATCAACACCAATACAAATACAAGTAGCCTAGAGGGTGTGAAAACACACAAATACAACCAATCACATTCAAGGTCATCAACCCGGAGAGCTGACTAATAAACTCGTGGAGAAATCTAAAAGCTCACTTCATCAAATTGAAGTGTATGTGCTGAAGATGTCGCCTATTAGACGGGGCAATGAAAGCTTCTCAAATAAACTATCCAGCTCCAAGAACACAACCAAATCAAAATCATCCACTTGAGCTATAAATCTTCCCCATCATATCTAAGAGTTTTTCTTGAAAGGCACTCAAACATATATTCATGGATAGTGGCAGGGGAGAATATGATATGGACATAACGCAGTACACTTTAGAAAAAATGGTTGATAAAGGCCACATATATATACATATAAATTGGTAAACTGACCATTAGACCAGTTGCGACTGCAATTAAACGACCACAACTGGTGTGTGGTACAATATCCCCGTACCCAATACTCAAAAATGTCACTGATATAAGCCAAGCTGAATTCAGCAGACTTAAATGGTTTTCTCCTTGTTCACTGAAAATAAGAAAAAAATTTAGAAAAAAGATAAACTCACATACAAATACATCAGATGTCAATGAAATTATTTTTGTTTTTAAAATAGCTGGTAAAATTTCGAACTCAGCTTGGTATTTTCAGTGTATCCACTCAGTTGGATTAGTTTAAGTGAAGTTATCATTGGAGGCTTTATCCAGCTCACAAAAAAACATAAAATTCTAGAGTTGATCGGAAGCTGACATCAGTTAGAGAACCACTGGAAAAGCAGGTGGGAGTAATGGATAACCAGTTTTGCAATTAATAGTATTCTCTGAGCTGGTTGGTTTAGTTGCGGAGCTTTCGTCGTCCTTCTTCTGGACAACATCTTCAGCGCCATATTTAGCCTAAAGTGAAATGATTTAAATTTCTTCATGAGTGATATAATTGAGTCTCCCGGTAACCATCTTTACATATGTATTGACCATTTTCTATTGGCTTAGATTTCAAACTTTCTGGTCACATGATTTACTTTTTATTAGTTGGTATATTTGGTCTATATTAACGTGCTTGTTAATTGCATTTTCGTTTGAGTACCAGGCTTCTGGGAATTCCCTGGCACTTTTGGTGTTTCCTCTGTCTAAGATTTCGACATTGTCCCAATCAAAATGATATCCATAATTGTCTATATGCATTGATACTAAAGAATATATATCGTGTCTTTTCACAGCTGATTTGTGTTCCTGGATTCTGATTCGAAGGGGACGCTCCGTTTGGCCGATGTAATGCTTGTTACAGTTCATACAATTTATTTATTTTGTAAATGGTATTAATTTTATCCCCTTTTTCTGTTGGATCTTTCGGTTTGCATAATATCGAATTAAGCGATTTGACTGGCTTGTGTGATATATCTATATCAAACGGTTTCAGTATTCTGGCTGTTATTTCAGAGATATTTCTCATGTTTGTAAGGATGAATTTTCTTGTGGTCTTTGATGATAGTTCTTTGTTGGTGTTTTGATTCGACTTTAAACAGTTTTTTTAGTTAGTGTAGTTTGGGTCTCTTCATCAGTACTCACCGACCACAGGTGTTCGAACTCAGGACCTACCGATTAGGAGGTGGGCTCGTATACCATTAAGCCACGGGGACTGGCCCCAGTTGTCTATGAATTTCTGTCAGTTGGAGGAGCATTTTGTACTAATGAGCATCGGGAACCACTTTATTTGTAGGATGTTAAGAACTTATGTTGAAATAAAATTATTGTGCTTAGTTTTTGACGGCGGTTTTCATTGCCAACTTCACACTGATGCACTCAAAGGACGAAAGACCTTCTCAAATCCGTCAGCTGACCACAAGTCATCTGAATACATTCATGTCAATCATTTTTTTATTTTCTGAGTGAAACAAAGGGCTTTAGAGCGGTATTGTTTGTTTTTTATAGAGTTGGAGTTGTTAGGCCCTATACTCAACCTAAGAAGTTAAGCAGTGAGTCGGCTGGTTATTCATGTGAATGACTGTTTTTTAGTAAATTAAAACCGGAAGTCCATTTCACTTGTCTGTCAGTATTTACTAAATGGAATTTCAATGTCTGTGTTAATTGACATGTAAGATAACAGACTGAGGGGAAACATTGTAAAACTGAGTAGTTATCAATGGTCTTAAATCAACTATATGAATGTATACCAATTTAAAACTATTTACGGTTAACCATTTGAAAATTAAAACCCTTCTAAAGTTATGAATGAAACTCGGTGGCACAGCGGTTAGGACTCTCGCCGACCATGCACATGGTCCGGAGTTCGATCCCCTGCCAACGCACACCCGATATTGATTGGTCGGCCTGCAAATTTTGGGCTACCCATATCACATGCTGAAAATTCCATACTTGTACCAAAAATAAAGTGCGGAATCAAGCTATAATAAAAAAAACTAGAGAAAAATAATAAGATGTCGAGTAGTGAACACATCTCAATTATAAGGGTTTCTCAAATCGTTATCAACCTCATTGCGTAACAGTATGACAATGCCGCATGTCAAGTGATCCACAATGGAAAACTCAGCGAGGCCTATAAAGTGTGGTGGACAGGATTAGGCGGTAGGCTTTGTATGGGGACGAGAAGAGAGGAATATGCTGGAGCGATAAGAAGACTCTGGAAGACCGGGACTTCGTGGAAGATTTCTATTTAATGTCACACAAACTCAAAGACCTAAAGGCACAAACCAACAATTTCTACCGAGTAGAAACTCATATCGAACTACATTCGTAAACAAACACATGAACTCAGAAAGTAAAACTCCAAAAGTCAGTCTTCCTAAGGTTAAAATTCACGGGTGATGTCAATAGTGAGGTCTTATCACAATGTCTGAGAAGGGCCTTCAAAAGGACTTTCTATGCAGATAAGCTATGCTGTGTATTCACTAGCCAAGACAGACTGCTCTGTTTCTCCTTTTCCATGTATATTTATCAGGTTAACTGTCCGTGTGGAGTCAGTTACATTGGTTGTTCGACCAGGCAAATTCATTGTTGAATTTATGAACACCTCCCAACTAGGTTTGGCAAAGGTCCGAATAAAAAGCTGCTATACGCAGCTCAATACTAGCTCATCTCGTCGATAATGACTGGACATCAAGTCGACTCTAACAAAGGCTTTAAGGTTATTTGTCGTATATCATCCAACCCCTCACATGGTCTACAAGCACGACTTTTACATGTAGCAGTGGCAGTCGAAATTCATCTGAACAAGACAAATCTGTGTGTTCAAAATAGATTTGTACAGTCCCTTTCTTTGCCACGGCCAACTACATGATATATATTAAGTTGTTAAAAACAATGTTTCCCCCTCCCCTTGTAACTATCTTTCGACTTTGTTAATTTTTACAATTCTACTTAATTATTTTAACTTGTTTGTATTTTACGTGATTCTTCGGAGTCATCACTGTTTTACAAATTCCCTGATTATGTAATAACTTGTTGTTAACGCCTAAGAACCAACTTATCTTAAATTTCGTAATTAATTCTTACCACTCTTTTAAAACTTAGATATCTTGTATTTTTATTGAACACTAGTAACTGGTGTGACGTGTCTAGTCCTTTCTTTGGTGCAGACTGAATTCTATCAGTCAGGTTTGCAATGTGGCCACCATTCTAGGTAGCTCGTCATCACGGTGCACATTGATTTGATGATATTAGATAGTTGAAGGTAATCGGCAGGAAGCCTTGGACACCACCTAGGTTTAGTGGTAGTTGGCAATCACCAGTCAGTCAGCAAGGCAGGCGTATCTGCAACCTTGAAGGAACTCATGTCTCTTCTGAGATTCGAATCCGCGTCATCAGTCAGTGCTCCAGTCAGAGACGTTACCACTGAGCTATTCAGGCTCGTGATTGAATTTCGTAATTAATTCTTACTCCTCTTTTAAAACTTAGATATCTTGTTTCTAACATTTATTAGTTAATTGATGTTTTCAACAACAAGTTAGAAGAATAGGTAGGCAGCAAAGACAGGACTACAACTGAACATAGAGAAGATTAATATGATGAAGATGACCAACCGCCAACAACAAGCAGCATTCCATATCAACGGAATAAATATGAGAGAGATCACTTGCTTGACTTATCTGGCTAGGAAGTATCTTTTTGTGTAGAGGCAGCAGGCATAGATAAAAATATCCAAACGAAGATCGGAAAGGCGCGGTAGGCTTTCATCACTGTGGGATCAGTTTGGAAATCTTCTGCACTCACCATAGAGAACAAATTTCGAATTTTCAACAGGAATACAGAGTCAGTTCTTCTGTATGAAGCAGAGGGTTTTGGCAGGTTACAAAAAGCGTTTTCAGCAGGCTATTACAGGTTTTCATCAACAACTGTAGTGCCTCAACTGAGGAGACCGTTGAGGTAGATCGTTGTGTAAAACTTGAATGGTGAACGGAGAGTAGGGTGCGGATCCGAGGGTGACTTTGAGGAGACCATGTGAGGAGGAGATGAGAGATTATGGGTAGTCGTTGAGCTAGCCAAAGAGGAGTACAGGGAACAGGATGAAATGACGACATGTTGTTGAGACTCTATGTTCCACTCGTAATCGAAGGGAATGTTAATAAGACATCAAAGTGTTCAGTTTACGTTGGAGAGTGATAATATACACATTATGTACCCCTGGTTGATATAAATATTTGGAAACCTATTATTACCAATCAGTGTAGCGATCTAAAAACTGTCTCGTTCGTTTTGGTGTCGATTTCATCAGTGGTGTATCAGTTAATCATAGAGAAAAGAACAGGGAAAATCAACAAAGATATCTTTTCAGCGATTTCATCACCAAAAGCTATATAAACAAATTTATATATAGGATTTTCATCATTAGCTGACATTAGTTAGTGAACCATTGGAAAACCTGGGAGAACTGGAAAGCTGTTTCGTCTCAGTTTGGGACTCTTCAGCAATACGCACCCACCCCTATCAGAGTTCGAACCCTCGACCTTCTGGTTACAAGGCGAGCTCGTATACCATTGAATATCAATGAGATGCTCACTAGCGACTTGCCCTATTCAGGTAGGTGGTTACATGGGGTTCTAGTGAGAAGTCGTGACCAGTAGGGTGCAGCAGGTTGGGTGTGAGGACAAATACTCGCCGAAGACATTGGCTATGGGTCGCGCTATGTCATAAATTGGCAGAAGTTAGAATTCATGGATCATTGGATCAGGTCTCAGTGGCTTAGTGGTCTACGAGCTCGCCTTGTAACCAGAAGGTCGAGGGTTCGAATCCCAGTGGGTGCGTACTGATGAAGAGTCCCGAACTAGGCTAACGAAATACCTGTCCAGTACTCCCAGGTTTTCCAATGGTTCTCTAATTAATGTCAGCTCATGATGAAAATCCTGTAACCAATCAAATCCCTACAAACCAACACTTGAACATTTATATGTAAATATGTTTGTTTAGTTACAATTATTATTTCATTCAACATAATAACGAAGAAGATTGAGGGCGATAATAATAGTTTTCCTCATAGATAGAGATATATACATTAACAGATTTACTACTTGAATA